GGAAGAGCCATGGCTATTATAGATCTAACACGAGTATCTAAAACCACCTTCTTGTTATCTTCATCACTCCATTGATGAGGAAGCTTTGAAATTTGTTGTTCAGGAATTGCGGCAGTTGTAGCAGTAGCAGAAATTGCTGGGGAGATAGCGGATGGAATATAAGGTTCATTCTCTATGTAGTATGGAATCTCAGGATCCACACCTTCCAAGAAGAGAGACATCCGGTTCTTCCATAGACTGAAGTTGTCTCTGATAAACTGGAGAGATTTGGCAAGGGAGCCATTATCGTGAATGTTTGTGCTAGTGTTTTGCAAAGCCATTTTAAAAGATAAATAAATTATCTAGAGAAGAAGAGATAATAAAACACCAATAAAACAACAATATTACACAAAACAAACATTGTTTTGATACCACTCTTATAAAAATATATATATTGATAAAAAAGATTAATACAAATTTTTATAGATTGTTTGTGGAAGAGATAGGATATAGAACCTTTATAAACAATCAAAGATACACACAAAATTACATATAACAATAAAGAAAAGACTTGCTACAAGAAATAAGATAAGAAGTAATGTGTTCTTCACTTGTTAAAGTGAGTCTTTCTCTTAGACAGATAGTAGAGAGATAAATATCTTCTTGGGCAAGATTAGAGGAGGAAGAAATATTAACTGAGAAGAGAACTACTCAACTATTTATACCTATTGCTTTAAATGCAATTCAGAAAGTACAAAACACGTGGTAAGCTTTTAGAGGAAGGTTTCTCTTTTGTTGCAGTATACAGTCTTCTTTCATAAAGCAGGTAAGCACATTTGGAGACAGATGAGTGATTTTGTATTGTATTTACTTTGAAAGGTATGGGTTTGTCCTTTGTTTGTAGAAGGACAAGACAAAAACTATCTTGCTCAACAAGATTCATTTGATCGTTGAACACTGGAATGACATTGAAGGTCTCATCAGTATTCGTTGAATCTTGTGCAGATTTCACACTTGTGTAGACGAGCTTGTTATCACTGAAAAACCGCTTTAGATCACAAACTTTCTGGTCTCTAATCTTTAGCTTCTGTCTTCGACAACGTTGAAGTATCTATGGTGTGAGTTTTGTCTTCTTGAAGAATATTGGTCTCTGAATGAATTACAATACATGTTCAACGATCACTGAACAGACTTAATGAAGATCGCTGAAACTGAATACAGAGATAATACACTTCTATAGATAAAAGGGATCATCATCAAATCACTAAGAGAGAGGATCAACAAAAATGTTCGTAAGTTATAGGATTACCACTGTGACTCATTTTATGAAGATTATAGGAGACAATGCAAAATTGTTGATCAAGTCAGGAAATGGTCCTAATCGACATCACGATATTTCTACAATCTATAGGAAAAAAATCTTGATGATTTTGATCTTCCAAAGATAAATATAGATGCAAATTTACAATTTAGAGGCTTTTGTGAGGTACAAGAGGACTACTCATAGTTGTGAAAGACAAACACCTACGTGCTTGAGACTCTCTCAATTCCGACCAAAAATAAACATATAATGAAATCACGAGGCACGTGGATGTTGAGACGTGTTCTTCATAAATGGTCCCGGTGGAACGGAAAAGATAATTTTGTACAAAGCTTTTTTTGTCAACATTCGTTCTTGTGGCCTTTTTGCTCTTGCTACCGCTTCATCAGGTGTTGTTGTCAATAATATGCTCGAAACAACTCATCCTCGATTCAAGATTCCCCTCAATCTTGATAACAAATTAATGTGCAACATAAAGAAATAAAGTGGGGCAGTTAAATTGCTTCGTTATTAAAAAATAATCATTTTGGATGAAGCGTCAATGGCTAGAAGGCAGGCGGTGGAGGCGCTTGATCGAATATGAAATATATCATAAGTGTGAAACTCCCATTTGGTGGAAAGAAAATGGTTACGGGAGATGATTTTAAACAAGTCTTACTGGTTGTGAGACGTGAAACCCGAGCACATATTGTAGATTCTAGCCTAAGGATGTCATTACTATGGTCAATGATTAAAAGGATACAGTTAACTCTCAATATGAGAGCACATGGTTTTCAGGATTTATAGTACGAGTCGGCGATGGAAATGAAGAAGCATTGGACGAAAAATTTATTCTGATACCTGATGATATGACCATTTTTTATACTGATAAAGTTGAACCAAAAGATGCTTTGATTGATGCAATCTTTCCATCTCTGCAAATCAATTGATTTTATTCAGATTTTATCATTTCCAGGGCGACATTATCAACTAAAAATGATAATATTGATGAGATGAATGATAAGTTGATTGACAAATTTTACGAAGATGAAAAGTATACTACAGTTTCGATGAATCAAAAGATGATAGGAATAACTTCTATCTATTGGAGTTATTAAACTCGCTAACTGTTAGTGATTTGCCCCCTATTACCTCTGGCTCAAAATTGGATGTCCAATTTATTACAAAATATCGATCCCTCGAATGGCTTATGGAATGGCACCGGACTGATATGCAGAGGTTTTCAACAATACATCATCGATGTAAAAATAACCATTGTTTAGCATACTGGCAAGGGGGTACTTTTGCCGAGAATTCCTTTATGTTCATCTGAGGATAACATGTTCCCATTCAAACTGAAGCAATAATAGTTTCCAATTCGACTTACCTTTTTCTTGACAATCAATAAAGCTCAATGACAAACAATGTCGCACTTAGGTGTTTATCTACCGGAATCAATATTCTCGTACAACCAACTTTATGTGGTGTTGTCTAGAGGTATATCACGGGCAATACAAAGGTATTAGTGAAGCATATGAAAAAATAATTATGCTGGAGTCTACACATCAAACATCGTTTATAAAGAAGTTTTACGTGATAAATAAGGTAAAATCAACCGATCACTATTACACATTTGGTACAATATGTTTCTATTAAAATAATTACTCTTTTTGCAGGACATGCTTACAGATTGACGCTTTACTTGTCTTCTAATATTATGAATCTACAGATGTGCATTTTTACATATAACTGTAATATCTATTTTGTTTAGTCATGACTTTCTATTTTGTAACAAGTTGTGAATGTATGGTGTTTGGAAACTCGATACTGTTGAGATTTCTCTGTTAGATATCTTGTCAATAAACTATATTTTATTTTGGTAACTATTTTACAATTAAACCACACAAACCTATAAAAAATTGAGAGGGAAGGAGAATAATACGAACAAGAAACACGTGTGTAGGTGCTCATCTTAGTATCAGTTCAGTCTCAAATGACTTAGAAAACGAGTTACATGTCTAATATGTTATGGTGATTCACATGTTTTGTTATGTATTTTAATATGCACGAGACTACAAACCAAGACATCACTTCATTGTAAAAAAAAGAATGAAAGTCCAATTTCTTTTTTGGCTTAACAATAAACTTTTTATAAAGATAATGATTCTATTAAAACTCAATGATTATCTTAATTATATTTTAAATTTTTTATATTTAAAATTAAATGTTTATCCTGTATTTGGTTATGTTTATCTGCAGTTAGTTATACGAATTCAAAAAAGAAGCTTTAATAAGTTGTACTTACGCATAATTTACTTGTAATCTTAAATTTTAAGTAATATGCATTAATACACGGTACTTCACGCATAAAGACTGATTTTTAAGAGTTTTTGTCAAATGCTTTATAATATAGTATTGATACATGTGTGGTTCAGCATTGTTTCAGTACGGGCATAACATGTTCTATATACGTGTTTGCAACAATATGATGCATGTTTAACATGTATAGTTTAAGTATGATTTTAGTATTACTAGTATGAAACGTTTCTAGTGTTTTAGCACAAAAATCATGAAATCTTAGCCACAAACTTATTGGTGTCGTATATTTCAGAATAAAGCATAACAAGTAGTAACAAGAGAAACCAAAACGTCTACATGAATACTAAACAAAACTATATAATTTCAATAGTTTCCAGATATTTCAGACATCTGATATTAAATGATTGACTTTATTTTTTGTTTCATAAAGACTCACTATTTATATTAATTTTAAATAATAAATGTTATTAAATCAGTGAAACATATCACCTCCCTAGTGGGTGGTCATCAACGACTAAAACATATATCGTTTTTCTATAATTTACAGAAAATAATTATAGGTTTTTCTAAAGGAAGCAATAATATATCTCAAACATAAACAATTATTTATTTAATTTTAATATTGTATTAAAACTTACCGATTGTTATAGGGTTTTTTTTATTAACCTGGATATCCAATCTGTTATGCGAGCCGAGTAATCTCAGGACGATCACTTGCTTTGTAGATAGTCCGGAGTCAACGCATTTGAACCTCCATGGCCACAAGGAGATTTTATTACTCATTGTATTTGAACTTGAGACCTCATGGTATTTTTGATCTTTGGAGCCAAGCTCAAAACAATCAGACACTACCCTTATGGTTGGTTTTTTTTATTAATTATATTATTTTGATTTTAGTAACTAAAAATGATATGAGCAAAATTAAAATCAAATATGTTGAACCAAAAATATAAAAAAGAGTTATATTTTAAATAAAAAAAGTATTTCAATTTTATTTGGGTAACATCATCCTCTTCGTATTCCAGTTGTCAAAGTTATTTAGGTCCCATTTGAACTTTATGGGGTTGGATTATTCGATCCATTAAAATCGTAAATTTTTTATCATATATTTGAATACGTTTTATAGTTTTTATTTATGAAATTATAAAAGGGTGAAATTGATAAACAATTAGTGGTTTAATGACCGATTGTCGGTTATTTCGTCATCCAAGTTGTTTCGGAACCGTTCCTATCAAACTTGACCATCGTATTTATATCGAAACATGAACATTGTAATAAGAAACTGTCATTAGCAACACGTTGAACCATCACCAGTTTCAGGTTCTATGACGAAAGGTTGGTTCTCCAAAATAGGAATCATGTTTTGGAAGAATATGTAACAAATAAATAAATAAAAAATGGGAAGAAAACATAGATACATATGTGTGTGTATATATAAGCATGTGGATAACACATGATCATGATATGACCAAACATTAAATGTGGTGTAAAAAGTTAATAAGGCTTCTCACCGATGTAATTTCCTGGAGGATCGTAATTACAAATCATGAACACACCCCTGCCCTGAAAACAAGCAACCTTAGCACACCCAATCCTTCTAGTTGTCTTCCAAACAATCTGTGTATAATGCCCACACTCTTGCCCTCCGTTGCACGAATTCGACCCATAGGTGTACCACTGGCGCTCCGCCAACCATGCCGCTGCCGCTTGAGCTGGATTCCATCCATCACCGCTTCCCCAGAAAATGTTCTCTCCGTAAGGTCCATTTGAATGCTTTAACAAGCAATCTTGCCGCCTCTGGCTGGCATACAAGTTTGCGTAACGAGCTAGTTGTGGGTCCCATGTCAGTGGTGGCACACGAAGGGCGGCTCGAGCTTGGTTTTGGAGAGATATGAAGTCGGTGATGATGTTTTGAGAGACGTGGTTCTTGTTTCCGACAGCAGTGGAGGTGGTGACGAGGAGAATAAGAAAGAGAGCCAAGCTTATGGTAGGAAACAACATTGGAAGATAAAATGATGCGTGTTTTTTGGTGGATATACAAAACGTATGATTTATATAATATGATTGAAAATCAAAAATTAAAATAAAAAATAAATAAATAATAGTATAAAGGTGGTTGGATTTGAGGGAATTTAAGTGGCACCCATGATCGAATATGATTGCCTTAATCTTTTAAAGGGTCAAAATCCATATTTTTTTAAGAAATTTAAATATTAAAAAAAGTTCATACTTTTTAAATACTTTTGTGAAATTTATTAAATTATGAACATTTTATTTACAAAATAGTAGAGTTTTAGAATTGTAATGGATTAATCATACCCCAACTTTAGGTAGTGTTTGGTATGTAGACCAGATGAGACGAGACGAGACAAGACAAGACAAGATTAAATTATTTGTCCTACGTTTGGTACAATTAGAATATGACTGAACTAATTGTCTGTCTTGCGTTTAGTTAGCTGGATAGGACATGACAAAACTGTTAAAATGACCATGATGTCCCTAAACGTTGTTTAATGCTATTTTATATCATATAGTGATTATAAATGACACAAATCAAGCAAAATAATTTAAATAATTTTATCTATAGTATTTAAGCTATTTTTAAAAAAATATGTATATATGGTTTAAACACATTCTTAGAGATATCATTAGTCTGTTGATTAGTTTATTGATTTTCATATGTGAGATCTTGTGTTCAAATATTTTATTGTAAATTCTTTTCGAGAACATAATAAATTTGAAAATTAAAGATAAAAACTAAAAAAAAAATGACACTAATATGATTCAAACTTGAGTCTAGGACGAAAGAAAAAAAACATTGCAAACCAACTCTATCAAGGAATACTTGTATCCTCATTGTAATTTTATATCATATACGGTGATACACAACAAATTAATACGTTGAAACTTTTCACAACCCCATCATTTTTAAACATACAAAGGAATGAAATGGTGGCACGTGCCACCACAAAAACAGCCTGAGTCTGTCCCTGCACCAAGTTCAAGGTAATAACAAATGTTTTTGTACAAGAGCGAATGATATACAGTTCTTATAAAAACTCTCTCCAATAATAGTTATTTTAGATTGAGTTTGGTATCCAGACAAATAGAATAACACAGGACAGACAGAACATTGTTTAGTGTTTGGTAAGACAGAACTAGACTAAACAAATTATATAAAATGATCAATTTACCCGTAATGAGTTGTTTATATTTTGATTAATTTATGTAATTTACTCCATGCGTCCTAAAATAAGTGCTTACGTTACTATTTTAGTTTGTCCCAATAAAAGTGTCCAATTTTAGAAGAAAATGTCTACTTTTCTATTCTACCATTGATTACATGATTTATAAAATCTCTCTCTGTAATTAAGGGTAAAACTATGTCTTTGTTAATTAATAAGTGTATTAATTACATAATCCTAAAACTGTATTTTTTTCATTTGAGACATTTTGTTTTGGGTTTGAGGGAATATTAAATGATAATAGAATAAATATTTTTATAAAAAAAATTTGTTAGAAAGTTTTCGTAATAAGACAAAAATAAAAAGTTTATGTAGTTTTCAATTTTTTATACATTTTCTATATTATTTAATTATTATTAATGTTTAATAAATTACATAAATTAATCAAAATATATAAAATCATATAAAAATAATATTTTGAGAATGATAAAGTGAAAATTTAAAAAACTTAAAATAGATAAATAAAATTTAAAGAATGAATAAAATAAAAAGATGACTTATTTTTGATGTTTTAGAAGAGAATTAAGTTTTATTTTGAGGTTATATTGGTAAAATATAGGTCTATTCCACCTTATTCCATAGAATGAGGGTGGAACACGTTTGTTCCACTCTGTTCCTGTATATTCCATATAAAATCTTACAAAACATATAATTTTTACTTATATTCTGTTTTATCCGATGTACCAAATATACCCTTAATAACGTATATTTTTTACTTATAAAAATCTCCCCATGGAGACGCTCTTAGTTAATCTAACCTATGAAATCTCTTTGAGTGACCCCTTAACTTCTTAATTGAAAGTGGCTCGGATACAAGGCACATGGTCAATGTGTTATCTTAATCTTAGAACATTTTCAACAACTATACTATAATTTTTTTAAAATAAGGTACCAAAAGTTAAAATCTTAAAAAAAAATGACATTCAACTCTAATGACTTGTGTACTTTAACAATTTTCTACCATTAACTATATTATTAAAATATTAAATACATTATAAAATATTAATTTTCTCTTTTAAACACTCAATTTCAATGTCTGTTGGTGGGAAAGAATTAAATATTATTTCTTCTTGGTCTTCGGAAGTGATGACTTATATAGGAAGTGTTCGTAAAAGAGGGAGGGTGAATACAAACGCAGAATATTTTCACTTTTAAATTATTTCTTCTATGTTTTGTATAAAAAGGTAAGACATGTGATTCAAAACAATCTGACTGTGACAAATTTGTTAAACTGAAGGGGGGGGGGGTGGAGGAGGTTCTCTTTCAGATCCAAAGAACTAAGAAAGTTATTCAGAGGATGACGCCGATTTTACTTAAGAAACACTCACAAGGTTGTTCTTCAAAAAACGGATGAGTTGCATCGAATGACAAGGGTGGCCTTTTATAGTCATCATTGCATTAAATGCTTACTGTCCAACTTTAATGCGTGTCTTCTTCTGATTGGTTGATCCATGCATCCTACTATCCTAGTACTCTTCATTTCAACCTTTTGAGCTTGATGTAGACACTTTGTTAACTTACTCCATCTTTTTGTATGCTGAAGGAACACTAAAGTAGATGAAGTACCAATAAAATGGCGTTTTTGTACTTGCTTTACGTGACATGTTATACATGTTCTCATAACAAGAAGGAAGTAAGATAGTTGGCCAAGTTTCTACTTCAAGATTTTGGCTTGCCAATTGTAGTATTTGTTAGACTACTAGTTGATTTTATCTTGTATTGATCTTATTTTTTGCTAGATGACAAACCAATCAGCTTTGATGACGATCTTGACCTCATTTCAACAACTCTTCGATATGTTGAAGACATTCTGCTATTGGATCAATACATATAGATACCATACTTTAACAAGTAAAAATCCTATCTTTTTCTATATCTGAAATATAAGCTATATTTCAGATTTACCAGACATAGATCTTTATGAAGGTGCTATACCGGATACTGATTAAGGGTTAGTAAAACTAGAAACCTTTATTTGATAGGAGAATCAATCGAATTAAGATCAGATGGAAGTCTTTATGATAACCAACTGTGTAGAGATATATCTGATGGGTGATATATCTGAAACTTTAAACAACAGGATTAGATGATACCATATGGGATATTATCAGATGCAATAAAGTACATCATATATGGTAAACAAGAACTTTTCTTTCTAAATGTGTGATGGGATGCTATGAATATTGTTATCAAATATGATGGTTAAGAAAAGATGAATAATTTGTTCAAAGTCAAATATGATTCAGTGGTCGATTTATTATTAGAAAAACATTGGAATGTAGTGTAATTTAATAAAAAAATTAAGAGTACATTTATTTTTTCGCACATGACCTCCAAAATATCAAGACAAAGCCTTGGTTTTCTCACGCCTTGCATGTCCTTGAGAGTATTTGTAGAAGTTTTTTCGGAGGGGGGGGGGCTTCGAGGTTAATCCAAAATTAATGAGATTGTGTTCTTAATGATTCTCACTTGGGGCTGGGGCTTGGGGTCGGTGGTCTTCGGCCTGCTAATCTAGTGTTTTTGGAAAAATGGTTGTGGAAATCTAAATCAAACGTTGATGTTTTTCGGGTTAGAGTGATCAAAAGCATTTTCGAGGATGAGGGGAGTTTGAGTATTGGGCCATCATCTAGTTCTATGTGAAATGGAGGATTGAGTGCATTGGGTGGGATAATCAAAGTGGAATTATCTCGAAGGTTACACATTTCATTTGTGGAGTCCTTTAGAAAAAAGGTCCGTGAAGGGAGTGATACCCTCTCTCTGGAAGGACAAGTGGGATGGGGAGTTCTAATTTAACAAATAATATTTTTTGTGGTTTTAGGCTAAATAGGGATAATGGTGTATTGATAAAAACTAGAGTGTCGTGAGTAGATAGTGATCCTTTATGGTCCTAGAATTGGTCCCGAGATCCAAGGGCAAGGCGTTAGAAGATTTGGATGAGTTAATAGGTCTATCTATGAGTGTTTGGAGCTGGAGGGTAGTGACCATTGGTTTTGGTTGCTTGATGAAAAAGGCGTATTTTAGGTGAGAGGTTTGCGGAAATTAGTAGTGGGAAAGATGTTTGGGTCATCAAATTTTTCAGATTCTACTGAGTAGATCCCAACTTTTCCTATAAAAAACAAGCATATTTATGTGGAAGCTCAAGATCTGGGTGTTGTCGGTTAGGGAGGTCTTTCATGTAAGAGGTATAGGTTTAAACTCACAATTATGTCCTCGTTGCGGGGAAGAGTTGAATCAGTCCAACACTGTTTCCTTAGTTGTCCATGTAGTTCAAATAAGTAAAAATGTATTCAAATGGTGGGGCTAGGATGTAGTCACGAGTATTTCTCTAGAAGATCTGTTGCTCAGCGGAAATTTTCAAGGCTTCTATATGTCAAAGAGGAGAATTTCGAAAACAATATTAATTGTGGTCTACTTTTTTATGTTTTAGAAATTCATGAAAAAACTTGTATTTTCTAAGGAGAACCATTCTCGCCATCTAGATTTGGTCTTGAAATACAATTAGCAACATTTGTGTGGATTTCTATGAGAGCTGAAAGTTATGAGGGACAAAAACTTTCAGATTTCATGGACAAATAGGCTAAGCCGTCAAGGATGGTGATCAGAGGGTCTCTTGTAAGTCCATATCAACTTTCTTGCTTTATATATTGGGGAATGGGGGTGCTCCCTATGGTCGTTTTCCCTTGACGAAGATTGTCTTTTGACTCGTATACTCGGGCTTTTATTTTGATTTATGATAGGGTTCCTTAACCTTTGGTCGTGGATTGTGTTT